CCCCTGATGGTGTTTTGATATTTCAGCCCATTAAGACACACAGATTCATTTCTCTGTAGTTTTCAACAGTGAAACAGATATTTTCTTATTTGATATACTCATGAGTCTATAGCTAATTATTATTTCTTACCTTTGAAAGTAAAGTCTTGGAAAAATGGGGGAGATCTGTGCTGAGCTAGGGTCTCACGTGGTTCAGACTGCCCTCTAACTCTCTACACAACCAAGGGTAACCTTGAACTGACCTTCTGCTTTGAGTTCCCAAGTGCTGAGACTAAAGGTGTGTACCACCAAGCCCAGCTAGAATCAAAATTCCATCCTGTTTTAGTACAAGCACACTTCACACATCAACTTCATTCCAGAATGCCTCTCAGTTTTTATATTCCTCTGTATTTCTTTTTAATTGAGCCATACATTTTTCTCCATCTCCTTCTCCCCTTCATCCCTCTCCTGCGACCCCCACACTGCCAATTTACTCAGGAGATCTTGTTTTTTCTCCTTCCTATATAGATCCATGTATGTCTCTCAGAGTCCTCTTTTGTTGTCCAGGTTTTCTGGGGTTGTCGCTTATATACTGATTTTTCTTTGCTTTATGTTTAAAAGCCACTTATGATTCGATCTCAAATGACTGAAAGACAGTTAAGGAAATGCCCAACATCCTTAGTTATCAGAGAAATGCAAATCAAAACAACTCTGAGATTCCATCTTACACCTGCAAGAATGGCCAAGATCAAAAACACTGATGACAACTTACGCTGGAGAGGATGTGGGGTAAGAGGAATACTCCTCCACTGCTTGTGGGAGTGCAAACTTATACAGCCACTTTGGAAATCAGTATGGCAATTTCTCAGAAAATTAGGAAACGATATACCTCAAGACCCAGAAATACCACTTTTGTGTATATACCCAAAGGATGCTCAATCATGCCACAAGAACATATGCTCAACTATGTTCATAGCAGCATTATTCATAATATAATAGCCAGAGCCTGGAAACAACCTAGATGCCCCTCAACCAAAGAATGGAGAAAGAAAATGTGGTACATTTCCACAATGGAGTACTAATCAGCAGCAAAAAATAATGACATCTTGAAATATGCATGCAAATGAATGGAGCTAGAAAACATCATATTGAGTGAGGTAACCCAGACCCAGAAAGACTATAATAGATCCTCTGTATTTCTTTTTCTCTACTTGCTTGTAATTTTATTATATTGACTTTATGCATTTATGGAAGTTGCCTCAAAGTCCTTTCATAAGTAAACCAAGTTATATGCAAGACTATAAATAAGGGCAGTTGAGATGGCTCAGCCGGTAAATATGATTTTTATGAAGCCTAATGAAATTAGTTCAATCCCCAAAACCCATATGAATGTGGAAGAAGACTGTGACTCCAAAAAGAGCACTCTGACCTCTACACAGGCACCATGGGCGCTCACCCATACCTACCCATCCACCCCACACACACAATGATGATTATAAAGGCTTTAAAGACTATAAATAAGTGAATGAATGGAAGTTCCAGTAGAAAATTAAACAAATATGCATAATTATGCATAGGGTTATATATAATCATGCCCTTAAAATTTACATCAACAATACTCACAATCATACATAGTCATATTCCATACATACATAATCATATTCCAGATGTTCTTAATATTAGGTTTATGCGTATTTCCAAAGAACCTATGAACAGAATTCAAGACATCTGTACATTTGAATGAAGAATATATCTTCATTGTCACTAATCTCTAACAGAAATTAAACGTCTTCAACTGTACATATCGGCCACAAGCCATGCACTGTAATATGTATTTACATATGTGATACATATTTCCCATTGCAATTCCTGGAACCTCCATCCTCACTTTGTTATCTGTAGCTGTCTTAAGATACTAAGATTTTCCTAGTTATGTTAACGGATGTGTTAATAAAGCAGCACATGGTTCTAATTCCATTTCTGTTGCTCTGATTTCAAATACCTGACAAAAAGGAACTCAGGGAAGAAAGGTTTCTTTACACTCACAATTCCATGTTATAGGCAATCATCTCAGAGAACCCATGGTAGCAGGAACTTAAAACAACTGTCATGCTGTATCCATGGGCAACAGTGGAGAGAAACAAATGCACACGTGCTCAGTGCTCAACGAGCTTTCTCTGTCTACTCAAGTACAGTCTACGACAAAGGAATGGCGCCACCCACTTTCAGGCTGGTCTTACCACATCTATTAAGGTAATCATGTCAGTCCCTATAGACACCCCAGTGTGCCAACTTTATCTATACAATCCTGCACTGAGGCTCTCCCTGAGCGAGTATAGGTTGTGTCAAGTCAACAAGTAGAACTGACCATCGCATAAACTGCTGTTCCACGAGTTCCTTTATGTCTTAACCATTACGCTTTATATATCTGCTTTCCTTGAAATAATTGTGTGTTTTGCATTATGCTTTGAAAAACATTATTCTAAAGAGCCCGTAAGCTCCCTCCACTTGTAACAAGCACAAAAGAAGTTAGGTTCTGAACACAAAATCATGAACGTGGCATCACGATAGCTGGTGGGCCACTCTGGTTGAAATCTGCATGTGACTAAGGAATGGCAGCTTTTCCTGTTCGTAAATCACTGAGGGCCAGTTAAATAAAAGGGAATATATTAGCTGCAGGCATGTTCTTGCCCCTATGATGAGAGAAGGGTGTGTCCGACACACAGGCAATTCAACTTCTATGGAGTAAGTTTACATTTGCAGCTTCTGAAAAGGCAGGGAAGGTCTCTGCAAAACTTTGTTCAACATTTCTGTTCTCAAAAGAAAAGCAATCCTATTTGGTTAACACTTAAAATGTCTCTGCGAAGACATCATTCGAAATCCCTTTCTGCGTGTTGTAAGTTATCTAGGTCCCTTTGTACTTTTTCTCCTTTCTGTGTCAGGCTTCTTCTGCATTTTCATCAGACGTTCTGACACTTCTGTACAGTTGAAGTGGGGCAGAAACACAGGGAACCGAAACAAAAGGCTGTGAGCGTGTGACCAGCACACACTGGACTACGTTTTCAGGATCTGTTACGATGGTTTCTGCTTAGATGGGAGCAGAGACTGTGTGCTTTGTGCTGGCAGACAGTTAGCAAGGCTGTGTATGCATGGTGAGACTACCCCATGTAGGGGTGGCCCAGACCCACCTTCTCCAAGAATATATCCCCTGAGGTTACAAAAAGGAGTAAGAAGTCACTTTCAGTGGTAAAAGTTAAAAGCAGGCAAAGACTCCAGAGGAATCAATTCACCAGGAAGATCTCGTTTAAGTTTCTTGGTTCTAGGTTATATCTATATTATAATCATTTTATATTATACTATATTACATTATTTATATCATATCATATCATATAAAGCTAAGTTCTGGAGCAAATAATTTCTCCCAAAGTCTCTCCCCTGGCCAGAGGCATGGGAGATGCCTAGTGAAGCTAGCTTTTCTCTCTTCTTCCTACCAAACTGCCTGCCCTACCCTAGTTGAGCTGCGGTTGGGAAATGGGTTCATAGCTAAATAATAATGTGCCAGGTTGTTAGAGATTCTCTGAGTACACATCACTGAGTCTGCTAGACAAATGGGCTCCTATTGCTATAAGCAATGACATTTCCATATTAGCGTTGAACAGCTGAACATGCTGTAAGTGTGCCATTTACCTTCTACCCGGTAGGATAATTAGCCTGAAATCCATTTCGTTACATGACCGTGGTTCAACAATAAAAACTCCACTTACTTACTTGCTTAGACATATTATAAGAGTAATCCATGAGGCACCATGATCTTTGACCCTACTCTGGATTAATGTTGAGATTGCTGGAATCTTTTTTTTCTTTTCCCTTCCTTTTTTTCACTAATCCTTTCACTTTTCACAAATTTCAGTAATCCCACTGAAGACTTCCATTTACTTTCCCATCAGTGTGTAAATGAGACAAACACAGCAAGTTCCCAGCAAGGGCCTGAGGGCATGGTGAACTGAATAAGCATGGTGTGTATGGCTCACTCTTGTTCACACATCTATTGGTGTGTCAAAAGTTTTGCTGCATGCTAGATGTATGCATGTGTAACAAAGATAACTCCCCAGTAAATGAGACTCCATGACGCTCGCTTCTCTGTGCAGATCACCGAGGCAAGTCTCTTGACCCTGCGTCTAGCCACTGACTGCAGTTTATCCTGGGTTTCTGCTGAAGACAAGCCTCCACTGAGTGAAGATCTCCTGAATCCAGGAACTAAACTGTCCACAGACCTGGAGTCTGCAACCATTAGACATTGCCATCAGAAATCTGAGTCACACTGTCATTTTCAAGAGGAGACAAAACCGCACTCCCCGCTTCCTCTTTCTTCTACATTTGATCTCTCTCATTTGGTTGTAACCACGAAATATGAACTGTGGACTACGGACACTGTGAATCTTGCTGCCTTCAGCTACCTGAGGGACTTTGGGACAACCGCTATTCACTCAAATCTCAGCTTCTCCATTTATAAAGTCAAATCAATCAATAAATCCAATAATATACACAATATGGAACAGCATTTATAAAGATTAAGAGGCATAATTTCCTGTGTTGAACTTACATTGAACATTCTGTCTGCTGATTGGCCAATTAAAACTTGGTTCTATGATCTTATACAGCTGGAATATTGCATATCAAAGCTAAAGTGATCTTGAGTCAGAAGTGTTAGTAGTTATTGATTACCCTCCTCTGTATTCGATGTAACATTTACAAGCTTATCCAAAAGCCAGTAGATAAGTTTCCCCCTCCACTGATAGAAATTCATGGACACAAAAGGATAATGTATGCTTCATTCCCACACCAGATGTCTGAAAGAATATGCTGTTTCTTCAACAAAGCTTGCTTTGGTATTGTTTGTTTGGTTTAGAGCTGATTAAGAAAAGGTTTTTAATATAGATTTAGGTCCAGGTATTATTTGTTGCTTCATTCAAAAAGTTACGCGAACTTAAAAAAACTCGCTGTGCCTTTGTGTCTTTGAGGTGAATTCATCTGAACACAGAGATGAGTTGGTCAGCAGTTGCAAGGCGGATGCTACAGAGGAATCATAAACACAACAGCCCTTGCTTCCGACAGCGAGAGAGAAGATCCCTGCCAATACCGCGACCTTCTGTGGACATCACTCTCATCTTTAAAATGTAAGTGTGTGCATTTGCATAAAAATAAATAAGCATCCGAGCGGTGGTGGCACATGTCTTTAATCCCAACACTCAGGAGGCAGAAGCAGGGGATCTCTGTGAGTTCAAGGCCTGACTGGGCTACACAGTTCCAGGAGGGCTATGGTTACACAGAAAAAACCAAAGGGGCGGTGGGGAGGAAGTCCCTTATGAAATGCCTAGTCATCTAACATGAAGAGTTTTACTATGTCACTAAAGAGGAAGAAGAAAGTCAACATTTGTTACAACACTGTGTGGTGGATTTTAATTGTATTTTAATAAATAAAGACTGCCTGAAGATCTGAAAGTAAAGCAGCCCCACTGGTCAGTCTCACAGAGCAGATTGTGGTAACACACACTTCTTATCCCAGTAGCCACACTGACATGCACTTTTAATCCTAGCAGTCACAGCGACTCACACCTTTAAACCCAGTAGCCACACTAGTTGCCATAGAAACTGGGTGCTGCATGCCTTTAATGATGGTGGTGCACACCTTTGATCACAGCCCTAGAAAGGATTATAAAATAGGAGGAAACAGCTCTCAGACACAGTCTCCTTCTGAGAGTCCAGGAGGCAGGATCACCATTTCAGACCGAGGTCAAGGTAAGAGCCAGTGGCTGGCTGTTTTGCTTTTCAGATCTTCAGGTTGAACCCCAATTTCTAACCCTGAGTTTTTATTAATCATGCTTCAACCCTGTATCTTCTAAATGATGTAATTAGTAAAAAAAAAAAAAAAAAAGGAAAAATAGCATTTATTATGTACCTAGTGTCTCTCCATCACTTGAGAGCAGCTTCACCTGAGCTGGGTGGTAAAGTCTAGCTGCATCGTACATCCTTGCAGCCATCTGGAACCTCTCAACAATAGACTTTGTCAATGTCATGAACTGGATTTGAATGCACAGTAAGGATTATGTCTGCCCTCCTGCTTTTTGGTGACAGGGCTCACAGTGCATTCTCTAACCCCATGTCTGAAAGGCAGTGGGAGCATGACCGATGGAGAAATAAGCTCTTAATCCAGCCGTTCAGTCAGTTCACCCCTTCCCCTGGTTTGCCTTGAAACATCTCATGTTTTCACCTCAGGGAGCCAGCGGCTGTCCTTCTTTGCCCCTCTTCCCTTCGTGGAAAACCAACCCCTCCACTGCATCTGGGAACCGCCCCTACCCTAGTTATGTGGAATGGGGATATATTGTCTGTTCTCTGCCTTGGATCTTTTTGTAAGTCTAATTAAATGAAGTCAGTTTAACCCAAGTTCAACAAAACCCCTCTGATTCATGTAGGTTTTCTTTTCATTTTAACCTCAATCTTCACATCACTACTTCTAAATAAAGGTGAACAATTGCTCCTTTGTCTTCTGTGAACTCAGCAAAGATTCCTTAACTCACAGCTCTGACCTATGGCATGTTCTCGAGAGCTCTGTTATGGCCTTTACAATTCTAGCAAGTCTTGATTTACAGAGTAGCCTACCCCAAGGCACACAGGTTAACTACTGGGTCAGGCCCAATGTGTTCTGAGGGTTACTGATCACTTCTCTTAAAAATAGCTGAGTCTCTTGGAATGTCTTTCTTGGTCACTGCCATTTAGGAAGATTGTCCCAGGTAGGATACTTCCATTCTGGCAATACATAACTTCATATAATCCCTCTGGAGTTAATTTCCTCTTTATTCTTTATCATTCCTAAATCCTTACACACCTTTAAAAACTCCTCCCCAGTGAAGCCCTTTTAGTTACCCCTTTGCTTTAACTTTCCCATTGATCAGGCTTCGTGAGAGAACTTCCCTAGCTCTTGCTATCACTCAACTCTCTAAGACCTACAAATTTACTTTCTATGGCAAAGAAAGTGGAGGCACATGAGGAATTACAATAATGTGCTGGAAGGCGATTACCATAGCTTCCCCAAACATAGACCACCGACTTGGAGAAGTCAAAGACACTGTCTTCCAACTAAATATCTCAGCTCTCACTCAGGCCTTCTTTCTTACACATTTCTCATGGGAGTGTGAAATACTGCAACTTTGTTTTGAGTGTTTGAAGGACTCTCATAATCATCAATGAGACCGCCAGTCCTGCCCTTTAGTGTTTGCTCAGGGAAGAAGAAAATATGTATGCACATATGTATATATGTATCCACACATGCATATATGTATCCACATGTGTGTATATGTATCCATGCACGCTTATATGTATCCACATGTGTATATATGCACAGTCACATGTTATTTTAAATACCCTGACACGAGGAGCACCAAAGTGTCCATCAAGAGAAATGGATAATGAGACAGGTTCCTATGAAGGGAGACAGTGGAAACAGAAAGGAGTTGTTACTGATAAAGCATGTGATGATGACGTAAGTTACCCTTTTACACAGTGAGACAAGAAGCCAGATACCTAAGAGCACATTCTGAGATGACAGCAACCTGCGGCTCTGAACCACGCAGGACTCCTGCATGGAAGGAAAACCAGAACAGCGGTCTCCTGTGGGAAGAGGAAAAGACGACATGGGTGACTATGATGGACACAAAGAGAAGCATGCTTTCTTGGTGACCATGTAGATAAATGTACATGTGACAAAACTAACACCCATGGCCCATCCATGGCACGGTATGCAGACCATGGGTTGATGATGCAATGGAAAACAGAGAAGAGAGTGACAGACCCCTAATATGATGCGCCTGAAGTTAAACTTGAAAAGGAAGAAACTCAATAGAGCATGTGACTCTCCTGCTCCTGAAGACAAGACTCTGAGTAGGGAGGCACAGTCTACTCTCATTTCCACCTTCAATTACAGAGTGCTTCTACTTAACAGCAGGTATTTTGCACACAGTAAGTACTTGGTGTCACTAATGCCTTTCCCTCTACTCAACCCATAATCACAAGCCTACCTTATCATCTGAAACCTAAGAACGTGTCCAACACCAAGTATGAGCAGTGTGTGTGCATGTAAGTGTATACGTACATATGCATGTGTGTTTGTGCATGTGTCTTTATGTATGTGTCTATGTATGCTCTTGAGTATGCACATGTGTGTGTGTGTTGGTGTGTCAGACAAGTCACATCAGCTCCTAAGGGATCAACAGACCTAGCACTGTCACATGAACAAACTTTAGACTCTGAGGATAAACAGGGATCCCCACAACTTCTCTCTGCATGAAGTCATAATGAATACATCTGAAATGTAAATGCATGACGAAATTCCTATCACATTATTTGGTGCTCTGGCTGTAATTAAATGTACTGATTGGTACTGGAGCAAAGCCCAGTAATTCCCCTCCTAAGCCTTCCCCTTTACTCCTCTACCAAAAAATCAAGAGCTATTTATAAAATTTCTAGTCTCCTCATTTGGTTCTACTTAGCTGAACTCATAAACCGTGCATGGCAAATTTCAGACCTATAATTTGTGGCTTCCTGTTTCCCAGGTTGCTCCCGAGAAGCCCGTGTGTGACTGTTTTCCTAGTTAAATATTTACACACATACTCGGGGTCCGGAGCAGTTCATATTTGACAGGACTCAACAGCACCTCCATCTGCTTCTCATCAGAACGACTAAAAAATGTGCCAACTAAACATTTTTTGAATTTATTTGTACAAAAACATTGTCTCCATGCTCATTCTGAAGCATTTTCCATGTAAAGGAACCAGAAGCAGCTCCTCCTGGCCCTCCCAGTTTCCAGCTCCCATCCTCTAGCTTCAGGGCTCTGTCTGGCCAGCGGAGTGATGGTTTCCCAAGCTTTGTCACAGAACGTTTCCAGTCTTATGTTTATCAGTGTGTGAAGAGCATAACACTCAGTTGTGATACAAAGGGAAAGAATGTTGTATTTATATCTTAAGGGGCCTCAAAAGGCAACAGCTGGCTTTGGGAACAACACTTTAGGTTCAGTAAGGTCAAATTCGGGCACCCTCCCTGCTGGTATCAACTGCCTCGGGTCTATTGTACACTCCAAAGGCATAGCTCAAGCATGAGTCTTTGAGAAGAAAATTTTGGGGCTTTTACGAGGTCCTATCCTCATTCCTTAGTCTCCCAAAGTTCAAATCAAAATATAAATATTTGTCTTAACTCTCTCTTAAGAGGCCAATAGTGTTTTTGACTCGGGCATTTTCTAGCATGAGCAGAACATCCCGTTTAGACATGACAAGGTGCCGTTCATGACACTCATGCAATACAGAGGTTTGAGCTGACTTCCGGTTCTGTTGTTCTGAGTTCCAGTACACAAATCTGATTCCTCATATTTATTTACATGTGGTTGTCCAACCAATAATAAGGTGAAGGAAGAAAGAATGAACACCAGACGCTGACCAAAATTTGAATGCACCAAAGAAGTGGAAATCCAAGAAATGACTGTTCTCAACGATTTTGAAATACCATTTTCCGATCTGTGTCTAAGTCAAAGCACAGGTTTTTCTTTCATGTGTGCCTTTTACCTTCCTTTCAGCCACTTCACAGCTCATTAGACTCTGGAGAAAAGCAGTCTGGAGAAAATAAAAGGAGGTACTGATGGGGAACCTTTTTCAACCAATGGCCTTCGAGAGGCTGGACCAGGCTGTGTGTGGCTTTGGGCGCCATAAGGTGTGGCACCAGCTGCTCTGCTCTTACCCTCACCTCTCCCCCACCCCTGCTCTCACACCTGGATGCTGGATTCCATTCCTGTTCCCTGTTATAATCTGTGAGACCCCCTTAAATAAGTCCCCCTTAATATACCCTATTCCGAGCTAGTGTGGAATTTCTTTATTCATGGTCCCCTTCATCTGGCCGCCCAACATGGGAACGAGTCCATGCTTACCAGAACTGACCTAAAAGTATCCCCCACCCCTGATGCGGGAGAATTGTCTGTATTCTGTCAATCATATTTTAATAAAACGCTGATTGGCCAGGCAGGCAGTATAGGTGGGAAAACCAGACAGGAAGTAGAGGTGATGCAATGAGAACAGGAGAATTCTGGGAAGCAAGGAGGTTCCTCTGCCATTCCTGCGCAGACCACCAAGAGGCAACATGTAAGCTGACAGCTGAAAAAGGTACTGAGCCCGTGTGGCTAACATAGATCAGAATAATGGGTTAAGATAAGTCATAAGAACTAATAAGTAGCCTGACCAAATGGGCCAATCAGTTTATAACCTTATAGAGTCCTGTGTGTGATTTTCTTTGTTGCTTGCCGGCTGTTGGGGTACCAGGAGGGACAGAAACCCCAACAAGCCGGCCCTCATGTTACACACCCCCACCCCCATGCCCACCAGGCACCTGGTTGGTCAGCCCAGGCAAGCTTCTTGCCCACAGCCCACCTGCTACTGCCTAGGACCCAACTTTCCCCTGCAGCTCACCATTTTTTTTCACACCCGCAATTCCGGTGGCTACACACATCGTAGTTCACGACTGATGGAAATTGGGTTTCTTTCTGATTCTGACCACCAAAAACCTCTGTCCGTGTACAGAATCCCTTTAATTGCTCTTGATAATTGCTCTTAAATTTGTCAAAAAAATTGCCTTCACAGTGTCTAATTATAATAATCCTCAGCCTATTAGGAGATTATCAGTGGACCATCCTCCTACACGGAATGTTCAGTAGCCCCACCCTGTGCCAATACTTTGTAAGTCAGCCTTTGGAAATAATACATAAACAATTTTCTAAATCTATAATTTACCATTACATGGATGACAGTTTACTACCTGATTCAAATGCAGATGTTTATACTCATGAATATATTACAAAGTAGATAAATAAATATCCCAGGAAATTACTTAGGTGAATGTCCAAATTTCTTTCTCAGTCTTTGGAGAAATAAAACATGATGACCATCAAGACAGGAAAGATGGTTCAGTCAACCCAAAGTAGACTGCCTTGCCGTGTATGCATAAGGAGCTGAGATTCACCTCCCAAACTCATGGGAAGCCTGGCCATGGTGGCAGGTGCTTGCAGTCCCAACAAGTCCCAGCGGACACTGGCCATCCAATTTAGCCTAGGAGAGATGCCCTGTCTCAAGACAGGAGGTAGACGATGCCTGAGGAACAATACCTGAAGATTGACCTCTGGCTTTCACCCACACACACTTACACACATACACACGCACACACACAAGAATGTGTATGTGCACAATACAAGAAAATCATAATGAACTTCAAATATACCCAAGAAAACTTATTTTTAAAAAATAAGTTTTAAAAGATTATTTTTAAAATAATCTTCAATTTTCAAAAATGCAGATAACAAGACTTTGATACCGAAACTAGACTCAGCATTATAAGGACTCATAATTATAGGTCCAAAAATTCTTAGAATATTGACAAACTAAATTCTACAATATAGAGAAAGATATTATAGCATAACTATGTGGAATTTATCCTGTGCTTAACAATTTTTTAATAAAATATATATTAGCAGGGAAAAAATGAACAGAAGCCATGATTGAATCAACAACTAGAGACAATCCATCAATGCCAGAAATTTGCAATACATTCATGATTAATAACCAGCAAACAAAACAGATCCAGGCATGTAAGTAACAGTAAGGCTCATACACCAAAAAGATTACAATTAACATCATATTATGGTCACGTGGTCAATACACACCCATGGTTGGGAACAAAGCTAAGGACCTTAACTGACAACTCCTACTACAGGGTTACTAGTTGTATGAGCCAATGCAATAAGGTAAGCAAAAGAATAAAAGTATTAAAGAAAAGAAAAAAAACTGCTCCTCAGAAGGAAATTTAATATTGTTTTTAAAACATGCAGAAAATGATAACACATCTACACAAAGCTCTTAGTAGCCATCTTTGGATTTGGAACATCACAGGATAAAAGAACAATATAAAATTTTAGTTATATTTCTATGTAGAAGCAAAATTTTATTGGAGTAATAAACTTTAGGGGAGCTTTCTGTTTTTCTTTTTTTACTTATATAAAGGCTAGCAAAACCTCTACGCTAAAAACCGCTGAATACTACTGAAAGAAGAGCTAACTAATAATATAGTTGTCTGTGGATCAAAAGACTTCTTTATCACGAGTAACTCCTCCCTATTAACAAGTAACTTCTTCCCCTCCCACAAGTAACCTCTTCCTGGTCACAATTCTGTTATGATCTGCTGGCCTCTCACCTGGGTACCTGTCCCTTTAAGAAACAAGCCCCGCCTCGGACCACTCCCCATCATTGCAAATGGTAAGGTCCCTTCTCCAAGTCAGCTTTTGCTCACATTCACCTCTGTGGTGTTGCCTTTCATCTAAACTGAAGACACGGACAGGATCACTGGAATTGACAGCTTAGCTGCTCAGGTCAAGGTAGGCTTGTCTTCCTACATATTTCTTAGCCCACAGGATCTTCTGGAGTCTGGCAGGTCCTGCACTAAACAGTAAAAGGCAAATACAACCCTCAACCATCATGGAGGACCCTGAGTAATGACTCTAGGTAGCCAATCAATTAAGTTCTCTGTCGTTTTTAAATCAATAACTCAAGTAAAATTTATCCTTCTCAAAGATCTCTGATGCAGTTTGATAGCCAAGAGGTTTTGTCAGTTTAAAAGGACAGCCTCGCCAAACAAATTTCAGTAAGATACAAATACAAGTTATTAAAGTGTGTCCCTGCAAGTTATAAAGATACAAGGACAAACACAAGTATCAAAATTCTCACGCTGCCCTTCATAGCTTAAAGATACTTTTCATTATGCAAAAATATCTGTCACAGTCATTCTGGTATAAATATGCTGCTGTTTAAAACTTACGTTTTCACAAACAAACTTCCTGTGAGTTCCAGGGAGCCAAATTGAAGGATCCACCTTAAACAGGTTAGATATACCTTTCTCAATTCCCTGGTCCTGAAAATTTTTTCTACCTAAACTTAACTTTGTTCTTTGTTCTGCCAACACCTTTCCAGGTCCAGGACATACCACACAGTTAGTTCCATACCACAAATCCTGGACAGGAGTAAAGAGACCAGCTACCCCAGGATATGACCAGCACCCAGCTTTCTCAGGCCCACCTCCAATACGATGCCCACAAATAAGCAGGAAGCAGTCTTGAGAATCCGCCATCCCAATTCCTTTAACCTGTTGTGTCTAACTTCCTACCTTTTCATTATAAGAAAAGATGGGAATGTTATGATCCACTGGCCTGTCACCTGGGTACCCTGTCCCTTTAAGAGACAAGCCCCGCCCACTCCCCCTTCTGCCAAGGCAATCAGATCTTTTGCCTTCTCCAGCCTATATTCTCTCTCTCTCTTCCCTTCCCTCT